ATTATAGCGTCTTTAATGCTGTTTTCTCAATCCTGACACGAGTTTAAAATTCTTTCATTGCTGATATTGTTTTTTAAATTTTTTTTTTTTCGATGAAATATTGTCATCATATTTCTGTACAATTATTCTAAACATTTGATATTCATATTTTTCAAAAGATCTCGAAATTCCGTCTAAAAAATGGTATAATTTATAAATTGCAGAATTTAGGTAGTTCACTATTTTTTCAGTTTTTTGATTCTGCATAAAAAATGGCTGAACCGATTTTGCTGAAAATCTAATCAGTTCTAAGTTACATAATTACGCGTCGAATGCAATTGGTCCCACATCGATATCATTCTTTGTTCTCGAGATAATCAAGGCGAAAAATAATTCCGAACGCATGTACGAACATACGCACATACGCACACACAGACGTCTACGTAAAAACTATCGTATTCAACTCTGGGGACCTTTAATCGTGGAGATATGTCAAAATTAGCGATTCGCAAAATCGGACCCATTACTATAACTTCCCACTGGGAAGTTAAAAAACAAAAAATACACCATGACAGCTAGTGAAATGTTTTACTTAATTAAAAATTTGCTAATGATTATCGGTCATTTAATTCCAGTGTATGATGAACATTGGAAATTAATAAAATTATTAAATCAAATTATCTTTTGTGTTACATCTAAATATCTTCAATTTTAAATGTCAGAATTATCTTGATTGTCTTATATCCAAATATTTATTTACGTTACAAGAATTATTTCCTAAATCATTTAAACTGAAGCATCACTTTCTTACACACTATCCTAGAGTTATGAAATTATTGGGTCCGCTTTGGCACGTTGCTTCTATGAATTTTGAAAGAAAGCATAGATCGGGTAAAATTACTGCACATATATCAATAAACCGTAAAAATATCTCTTATACAATAGCTATGAGAGAAAAATTGACTCTAAATTATAGATTTCTAAAAAATAATAGTAATCAGCCAGAAATAATTCTAGGTACTGCAAAGAAAACGTTTATCACCCACGAACTTAAACAAGATCACAATTTTAATTTATGGCTATGTGCTAGTCCTGGTATTGAACGAACATTGCTGTATGTTTGATAGATATCTTACAGAAGTGAGACGTTGAAGCCTTTTATGGTATTAATGATTCCAAATGAAAATGGATTTCAATTTTATTTGTTGAATTACATATTGAAGTTTAGTTATCAGTTAGTCTTTATTGTTAGAGAACTAGTATGTCATTATTCTGAACATTTTCAAGCATTTAAAGAACTTCATTGTGAGAATAATTATAAACTATTTTATTGGCATGATATCCGATTCTCGATATTCACACATAGAACACGACTTGGAGATGGGAATATTTATGTTTGTAAGAAATGGTTTTGAATCTATGATTTTATTTTCACTGACAGTAAGTCTTAATAAAATTTTGTTTTAAAGTGAACATTGTTTGTTGTAATTTATTTATAAACCCATATATATATATATATATATGTACTTATTGAAGTTTATGAATTTTTATATAATATCTGTACAATTAAAAAGAAATTCTACTCAAAGTTAAGAATTATACACAGAATTGGTTCATACAAATTAATTTATACATAAACCAAATCTGCATATAGTCTTAACATTTAATTTAATTTAGCATTTATTAAATGTTAAAAAGTTAGTAAAATTGTTTCTTAGTTGTACATACTCATCATCTAGTACATAGTAAATATTACGTTATATCTTAAAATATATTTATAAAAGAATTATAAAATTTCTTATAAAAAATTCAATAGCACATTATAGAATTCATCGTACTTTGATTATAAGCTATAAAGTATACATACAATTATTTAATTAGCATATTATAATATTTACTAAGTATACAGTAAAAAATTAATAGCAGTAAGGCTAATCTTTTATTTCTTCAAAGTAATCTTTATAAAATACTTTGTCATTTTTTTCAAAAGCATAAAAAAAATTAAATCATTGGAGAAACAATTTTTCTTACATACTTAGTAATTTTTGCATTATCTTTATGTATAAATTTTTATGTACATTTACAAATAATTTTATAAGTTCTAGCTGTTTCTAAATTACAAAGCTAGCACAGCATTTTTTATGTGAAAATCTTATAATTTTTTTTAAAGTTTAAGCCTTCTTTTTTCCGTGCACCGTAGTTTTTAATTTCAATGACGCACCGGAGATCGAGTGGTACGAATTCAAAACTTTTTGGTTACATTTTTTTTAAGAAACAAATAGAAATTTCAAAAAAAAAATTCCAAATTGTGCAAAATTTAGAATTTACTGAAAAATAAATTTTTCACCATAAAAAAATTTTTAATCCAGATTTAAGGTTTTTAAGAACACTTTAAAAATTTATTATACGTAACAAGATTATCTTTAAACAATTAAATTTTATTAATAATTTGCACAAGAAATTTTTTGTTATGAGATTAGATAATTTTACTCTTTATAACCTGAATAAATAGATGAATATATTTAATACAATAAATGTATTTAAATGAATAATTATCTTAATTAATCAATGTTTAATAATCATATATGATTACTAAAAACTTATAAGCACACACTTAATTTTCCAATAGTTTATTTTTATCCATCATCGATTCAAAATTCTACAAAATTGTTTTTCTTCTACATATATCACTACACAGTGGAAAATGTTGTGTTCTGAGTACAAAAAATGTAGTAGCTAAAATTCTTATGTTAAATGAGCAACACAACCTTGTGTTAATGTAACATGGATTGTTTATGTTAAATGAGAGTATTGACACAAATTTCAATTTAACACAATAGAAATGTTAATAATTAAAAGGGTATAATATTTCCTGAACATTATAGTAAATTATACCAACACATTTATTGAGTAATCTTCTACATTCTAAATCAGTTGATTTTTGATATCATTGTGTAAAAATTTACACTTACTAATAGTTATACTACGTATCTACAGGAAAAATTATAACTTATTAATTGTGTCGAATTAACCTAAAATTTATGTCAATTTGGTCCTCTTGTGTGTCAAATCATTGACACAAATTTTAAGTAAGGATTTAATACACACACTTTGTGTTGAAATGACACAAAAAAGTGAGTGGACCGTTTTAGACATGTGAAATGTGTTAATTTTAACACAATTCTTTGGTCTGTGTAGTTTGTTTAGTTTAATGCTAAGTCATCTTAATAAAGAATTTTTTACATCGCACTACACTCAACTCACTCAAAAATTAACTACTTCTCTAAAATTTTTCTGCAGTTCAAATATTTCGTCTTTTTGTTTTCGACAGTTTGAGCCTGAATGAATGTTGTCCATTTAAATTTAATGAACGCGTAACTAAGGAAACAATATATATGCATTAAAAAATTTAGCTTTTTAAACGGTCATTAACAAAAAGACGAATCATTTCAACAATTTGGAATTTTTTTGGGAATTTTTATGAAGACATTTGTATTGATTCATTTATTATTTAAAGCAGGTGTGATTTTAAATTTGTTGTTTTATTTAATGATGGTTGTATGTGTAGCGATGATGCATAATTCAAAACTTAGGGCAAATTTATGTTCTAAATAGGTTGTTTAGTATGTTATTATTACTTAAACTTAAAGTCTGTTAATCTTTACAGAGTATATTTTATATATTTCTAATGTTTCAGAGACTTCAAGCTTACATAAATTCAGTTTAACTTTAGCTTTAACTTGAATTATAATGTCATTGATGTATAATATTTGTATACCAATAGTTTTAAAAGAAAAAAATATATTTTTGTTTGACAATCAAATACTCAATTCAATTAGAATAACTTCCTTTTCGAATTCAAAAACGATGAATTGATCTATGATATTCATTTAAATTTCCATAGAAACAAAACTATGTGATAAAAAAATTGTATTTTTAATCATTAAAAATTGACAATGTGGGAACAAAATTAAGTTGTATTACTCGCTTGCTATTTCCTTGAATAAAGTGTAACTATAAATACCTTCTTATTTTTTAAACAGAAGAAAAGAAAATTTGTAAAACTTATCTCCATGTCTCTGTGGTATTTGCATTATTATGAGAATCAACACGTGCTTAGATAATTGGATCTTTCTCTACTTGCAGAAACTTTTGAATGGGTAATTTCCAATTACCTAGTCCCGACAGCTTATTCTACTGTATTCGACGTTAGAAGACAATGGAACTTTTCCACTTATATTTACGTAAAGTGTAAAATTCCTAATTTGTTGTTGAAAAAAAGAAAAGAAGAAAGTTAATACGGAAATTTTAAATGTTTAAAATTATGGATCGTTTTTCCCAACTTTTATTGACACTCGATATTTTCTAATTTTAGCATTATAGTCCAGTAAAGGTGTAATTTAATAAGCGAATCTAACCTCCCATTTTACACAGAGATTCCAAAAAAAATTATTTGCAGGCCAAAAAAATTTACGCATCATTGGGTTTTTTTGTTATAAACAATTTTTTCCTACTAGAACCTACACATTTTTATATTATGCTAAGAAATCGTTTTGGGATCGATTGGAAAGAATTCTGTAATACCAAAAAATTGGCATAATAATTGTATAACAGAAAACTCGTTCTTTTCCATTTCTTAAGGTCAAAAGTCTCAAAAAATAGGTGGAAAATCAGAAAAGTGAGATGACAGAAATCTTCGTTAGACGGTAAAGAACAATAAATATCCTATGATGTATCATTGATTTCTGCATAACTGGAAAGTTATTAATGAAAATGTGTACGCTCTAGTGAGAAAAAATTGTTCATAACAAAAAAACTCAATGACACGTGAATTTCTTCGGCCTGCGAATAGTTCTTTTGGACTCACTGTGTAATTTTTCATAAAATAAACCTTGGTTCAAAGTGGGATGTTAAATTTTCTATTACCCCTTCTTTTATTCGCACCCCTACTGGACTATTATTTATATTTTTTATGCCTTCAAGAAAAAATTTTACGAACAAGAATTCTATTTTATACTCACCTTGCTAAATCCCTGGCCCATGTCAAGTTCACGTCCATATCGTTGCTCTCCATAGATCCAATCTTGAACGACTTTTCGAATTTCAGGTTTCTCAGGATCCACCAGTCGGAAAGCAGTGATATTAGTTCCTCCGTATTTGAATGCTTCGAGATTCACACTGTGCAAATCCTGAAAGATCAGAGAAATGGTGATAATCACTTACTTTTGGAATTTGTTGGCTGAATTATATATATTTGCATAAATCTAATCAGGGTGTCATTCGGGGACATTTCTTAAGTACAAAGTAGTATTTGAGGACATTTGTATAGTTTGGGGACAGTCCCCAAAAAAAATCATGTATCTAACGTATTATTTGAGCCACTGGTCTATATATAAGGAATTATTTAAGGACACGAGGTTGCCATGCTGTGATAAATTTTTTGTTGTTTTTTGAAAAAAAAGGTGAAAATGAGGACGAAGGTACACTGTGATTGCATACGCTGTACTTGCAGGATTATTTTTTCTTCTTTGACTTGTTGTTGTGTTATTTTTAAAAGTCCCAAAAATATATCATGACATTCAACAGATGCCCGAGTAGACGCTGGCCTGATGTTTCATAAGGTCCTGATGAGGTTTTTCTGAGGTCAGCCTTAATAGGTTTGGCCTTGTGAGGTCATGAACAGGACCACATGTTTTTTTTTATTGAATTATAAACCTAAATTTACCCTATCATTACCTGATGAGGTAGTTTTAGATTTACCGAGTCAGGGTATAAGATTCATCGGTTCCTGGTTAGGCCCTCATCTAACTTCCATTACTTACGAATAATTTATCGATATTATTTCCAATGAAAATATATTCTCACAATACTTATTATTGATTATTGATTGCCATTAACAATTGTAATAAATATCTCTTAGTTCAATTGTGAACATTATATGATTATATTATTTAATTGCATCAAAAAAGAAAATTAATTCTTATTTTTTTATAGTTAATTATAGTTGCTTAAATATTGTTATTATTAATTATAGTTTATAAACGGAATAATTAGTTAAAAAAAATCAATGAATAATTTTCTTCTACTGATGTTATTAAAAATGGTAAAAAGTAACTTTTAACAGACTCATAAATAGTTATTCTATAATAATTAATTATTTATTTTTAAACATATGTTGAAATCAGTATATTTTATATATAAAATGTTTTTTATATATAATTTTTTATATATAATTTATTTAAAATATATTTTTAATGTTGCTCCTTTACAAATTATCTGACATACAAGGAATACATGTAAGATGGCGCTACTACCGTTGTCAACATGCGTGCGCATTAGCTGTTGACATCTCCAATCCAAGTACTGTGCAAACGAGGTTATATTATTTTTAATAAAAATACAATATGAGTGAGAATATTAATATTCAAGAATTTCGTTCTCGTGAATTGACGCGTTTAAGAGTACGACGACATCGAATAAATCTTCAAATTGACGCCAGTGGTAGTGCAATTAACAATATTAGTAACAACGAACAATCTAATGTGTTACCGATTCAATTGTCATCAATGTTGTCGGGGTCTGAAGATGAAAACGAATTAATTAATTTTGAAATGCTTGAAAATAATAATAGTCCCAATAAAAATATACTTATGACCACTGAACTATCTGATGACATCAATTTGTCAATTTTGGAGCAGTTAGACATCAGTGAAAATACTGTCGAAGAAGAACATATAAACTTTGATAATAATATTGGAGCTGATAGTATTACTGATGACATTATTAAATGGGATCTTGAACCTCCAGCAATTCCTTTGACTCGTTTAAATTCTCTAGTATGTATTTTAAGAACAAAATTTCCTGAGCTACCTAAAACTACGAAAACTCTTCTTCAAACAAATGCAGCCAGTTATAATATTGAATCATTTAAAGAAGATAGCAATAGTGAATTTGTATTCTTTGGTTTAGCTGACTATGTAATATATTCAACGCTTCATGTATTGTTAAAAAACTACAAGGCTTTTATATAATAATCAATTTGTTAAATTTTAAAGTAATTCAATTTTTCACCACTCAAAAGTTATCTAAATGCAAGTCAATGGTTAAATTTTTTATTAACTTCAAACAATAGTTTTTTTTGACTCTCAAATAACATCATTGTAGTTGACTCAAGTAGTGTTGTGAGCTTTTTCATTTCACGTAGTTTCTGATGCGACTTCTGTTTGCCGCCATTTCAGCTGTAAGCAAGTGACGCCATGTGATTCTTAACAGTTATTGTCCTCTTTAATCAATTGGATAATTTATTCATATAATTTTAAAGAACTTGAAACTTAAATATTATTGGGAGTACTATTACAAATTTTCATAAATATTCTAAAACAATAAGAAGTAATTCAATTTATTAGCAACGCGTCAACATTTATGGCACTATAACCTTCATTGTTACTTTTTTTTTACTTGGGAACATTAACATTTATTTATAATAATTATCAAGGTAATTAAAATTCAATTTGAAAGATTTGCAAGACTAATATTATATAAGTGTACGGACGTATATGAGATTAAAATAAAAATTGTCTTTCAGATGGAAAATTTATATAAACTTATAGTTTTCTCACATGCTCCCTCACAAGTAGACATTGTTCCATCATCTTGGATTAAATATAATCATGAACTAGATTCTCTTGTGACTCCATTTATGCCTGAACCATATAGTAAAGAAAATATTATAGAATTGCATGAATTAGTAAAAAATCGAGATCCACCTAATGAAGCATGGGATGTGTATGCAATAAAAATACGAGGAAATGCAAGTAAGTTGAGCAATATCTTATTTAGAACTAATTAAAAAGTGGTTTAAATTTATATTTCTGGTACGATATATATATTTTCTTTTTCATTAAAATACATAAACTTGTACTACAACAGAAACTTATGAGGAAGCCGAAGAATCTTTGGATAAGCTTAAAGTTCAACAGTACGCTTTTAGTACAGATAATGAGACAGGGCAGAATTAAAATCTAAAGCTGAAAAAAAAGCTTATAAGTTGAAAGCAGTAACTTCAAACACTTCATCTTTGTAAAAAGATTTACATTTTGCAGCTTGTGACTTAACTGATAGTATTTCTAATTGTAAGGCTCGGAAATCACATAAAAATTTGAAAAAACGTAAGTAAAATTATTCTTCAACAATTTCTGTTCATCATTTCTTCTGATTACTATCGACTTTATAGTTTGTATTATAATCGATTTCGTTTAGTATTATAATTGAAACTTTGGGCATGATACTTTTACAATAGATTGAATGTGTCAAACTTTATTTTCATATTTAGAAACAGTACTTCCGGCGATATCGGATTCTTCGGACACAGATCAATCTCTATCAAAACAGACTACAAAAGTCAATCGAAAAAGATATAACAAGCAGAATTATAAAAGCAAGAAAAAAATTATTATTTCTCCGAATCAATCTGATAATTCACAAGAAGAATCTTATGATGATGAATATGTGTTGGCGGACAAATCAAATTTCTCTCAGAAGCTTACTCAGAAAAAACTTGCTCAGAATTCAGTAAAGAACACAAAAACTTCTTCAAAAAAGATTATTAACGCAAATAGTGATCAAACTCGATATTCAAAAAAGGTCATTTATAATTCAAAGATGAGCAAAAATTTAACAGTTCCAAAGGCAACATCATATGATGACGAATGTGTATATGAAGACAATTCCAACTTCTTCAGTGAGCTTACGCAAGAAAAACTACCTCAAAATATGACAAAGAACGTGAAGTCATACGATTCAAATGACAGTACTGAAATTTGTGTCGTCAACGCTTTAAACCCCATACTCATGGAATTATCTTCGCAAATGAATGAATTACGAGATAAATGATTACTCAAACTGCCAGAATTGTGGCAATAGAAAAGCTTCTTAAAAAAAAACTTTTCGAAGGAATTGTTGATTTGAGTACTTTAAATAGTGACTCTGACGATGAATGCAAAGTTATTTTGCCATGTGTAACTGAAGAGGATTTTTCTTTACTAGAAGAAAAATTAAAAACTAATCAAAAATATAAAAAAAGAACTGTGAGTTCTAATAAACTTTATTTTCATATTTTTACTATTATTGACTTTAAGTTTTAAATTCTTGTTATTTATTTCTAGATACAAAACATATGTAGATCTATAGTTACTAAACGAGGAATAACTAGAAATGTGGGTGATATTCTTCGCAGATTTTTATCCAAAGAATTGGTGCTCCGTTTCACAACGGTTAAACAAGTTGTTGGAAAAAAAGTATTTAAAAATACTACATTATATTCTATACTTGAAAGTAAGTGAACTATTTATGATTAAATAATAATGATTTTTCAATCATTGTCTAAGTTATGATATATGTTTCAGATGCAATGTCAGCTAGCTTTAAAGTTGATAATATACCCCCTACACCCAATGAAATCCAAATGAGCATACAAAGTGTACTAAACAATGTAAAAGATTGGAACGGCGAACGGAATAAGCGTCGTAAAACTGGGTTTCCAAATACAAATGAAGAGGAAAATGAGAAGTGAATCATTTTCTATCATTCAATAATACTTTTCATAATACTTTTAATAATTATAATGATAATTGTTGATGAAATTAATAAATAATTCTTCTAAAAAATATTTTTTCCGTATCTGTTAATCAAAAATAAGCAATCGGATTAAAATTCAAACCTTATTGGAACCTGATCAAAACCTTTTCAGGCCCACTGTATAATTTCCTGATCATGACATTGCGTTACCAGTTGTCTTGGCCATGATCAGGTTAACTTATTAAGTCTCGATGAGGAACCTAGATCTGCCTGATCGGTTCCTGAGCATGCCCCTAAAATAATTTCTACTCGGGTGTATGAGTGTTAATGATGATTATTATACCCATAGCAATTGTTGTTACGTATATAAGCTGCTATTTCTCAGTTGCGAACAGGGTCCCTCCAGGTTGTGATCATTATCTTAGATGTCATCCCCGCTCACTAACAATAGAAACTCGCAAGGTGGTTACCATTGATTTAACTGAGGTTTTTATATAATAATCTACGTCAAAAATGATGTACTACGAATTTTTTTTTTGCAGAAAAACAGTTTGAAGGGGGGGGGGTCGCTCCCAAGTTTGACACCCTGTAAAGGTAATTCTTAATTTTTACATAGTTCTAATCGAAATTTCCCAAAACGACCTTATACATCTAAAACAACATAAAAAATGATAAAAATACCTTTATTTACATAATTATGAAACTTACGGATGTAGATATTTTTTTTATTAAAAATAATAAAAAATCTATAACTCAAAAACTATTATTTATTTTTTAATAAGACCAATTTCAATCGAAAGAGCATAAAAATTCACAAGATACGTATCTTTGCCATTTTTGGCAAAAGATTATTGCAAAACAATAAAGATGGTAAACAAAATCACAATTCCAAAATTTCCAACTGTTATTCATTAATGGTTTATAGTCACAATAATCACCGAATAAAATACGTTATAATTAGAAACTGAATAGTTTACGATTTGTCGAAATCCAAAAGAAGCATAGCTCGAATTTGCAAATATACGCTAGAAAATTTCAGAACTGCCATCGATATTGAAATGATAGTCCATGACTCCGATTTACAAAAATAGGGATTATTAACTAAAAAAAAATTTTACAACTTAATGATCTCCATTTTCAGGCATCTCCAACGTTGTTACTATCATTCAAAAGAGCATATTGTATTGTTTCTCGTAAAGTTAACGAAATAAAGTGCATAGTTCAATCAGTTTCTTCGATAAATCACAGTTATACTATAGAACCAACGATATCAGCTGATTAAAAACTCCTCACTTCCTCTTTTCTTGTGTTAAAAGAACCAAATGAAGAACATAGTCATCGGGTAGAAGTATCGCCTTTTAAACCAGATAATGATCACGTAGAAAAATTATATTATATGACATATTCTGGAAGTTTAAATACAAACTTTTTCTAGAACAATTCAAGATCTGGTTGAAGGATGTATTTTTTCTGAATGTTAGAAAAAATTTTTCTAGACAGTGTCCTTATACGAGGAGATGATTTAAATTTGCACTTGAGGAATAATAATATTAAATTACAATAACTGACCATAATCAACTCTCGTCTCCACAGTGCATTAATGTTTTCCGTTATTCATGGTTTAGAAGTAGTTATACATTTATTAAACCAGATGAATTTGAAAATCAAGTCGATTTTGCATTCGGAGATGTGTGTCTCACTGTGAAATTTTAGAATGTAAAAATATTACAATTATACGTTGTGCATGGTGTAAAAAATTATTATGTTTGTACATATTTGCTATGATTATCATATATGTGATACGTACAATAAATAAAGAATACATCTTCTTCATTTTGATACAAATCTGGGAAAAAGGGAATAGTTTTTTTCGGGATCGATTTCGATGTTGCTCTAAAAATAGCAAAGATACGTATCTTGTAAATTTTTATGCTCTTTCGATTGAAATTGGTCTTATTAAAAAATAAATAATAGTTCTTGAGTTATAGATTTTTTATTATTTTTAATAAAAAAAATATCTACATCCGTAAGTTTCATAATTATGTAAATAAAGGTATTTTTATCATTTTTTATGTTGTTTTAGATGTATAAGGTCGTTTTGGGAAATTTCGATTAGAACTATGTAAAAATTAAGAATTACCTTTACAGGGTGTCAAACTTGGGAGCGACCCTTCAAACTGTTTTTCTGCAAAAAAAAAATTCGTAGTACATCATTTTTGACGTAGATTATTATATAAAAACCTCAGTTAAATCAATGGTAACCACCTCACGCGTTTACCTTGTCAGGAATGTTCTAATTATACAATTCTATCCCTGTCCACATTTTATCCAATTTTTAGTATAGCTGTTACAATTTCCACTCAAAACTGTAGTTTACCTAAAAATCATTATTCTTGTTGCACTACTTACCAATGACGTTATAAGGTAACTGTGGTAGTCACTCATCATACCAATTTGCTGAGCCTGTTTCAGAACTTCATGGATACGTTCTGTTGAGCAATCCAACACAATGTGGGACTCAGCTGAGTTTTTAATCTGCTTCAACAACGGCCTGGAAATACCAATAGATATTTATGTCCATATGTCTAAATTTACTCTATCACGAGTGACTGCCCGTCACTCGCGCCATGTTATGTCTCGACTTTTTGCCCTTTGTTTTTTTGTGTAATTCTTTCTTTTTCTTCCCCTATCATGACGCGCTTGACGGCAGACACTCTGATACAAAAAAAATTTTTCTTTTACCTTACTCCGCGAATCTATATTTTTCATTCATCTAATAATTGTATAATGTATGGAAAAATTATGCATGCATTTACCATTTTATTTATATACGCTTTCATTTGCAGCATCAGAAATAATTTTTTATCCTTTCCTGTACAGAAATATTTATCTAAAAAAACTGTGAAAAACAAGGAATAAAATCTGTTATTTTTTTTTTTAATTCGGAGAAAATTTTACTTTATCTGAAAAAATCTGAGAAATGAGAGAAAAATTCTGAAATAACTATATATTTTTAGACTTCCACTCTGAAGCATTTTTGATAAAATTTAACGTAAAGTTTATCAGAGTTTTTCTAAAAAATTTTAGAAACATTCAGAGAGAAACAAAAAGAAATGAAAAAGAAAAAAAGGATATTGATTCTAATAGTTTTTCGCTTTAATTCGTCGATAATTAGTAGTGATTTCATTATTTGTTGGAAGTCATTTTTTTTAAAAGTAAAACTATTGACTTATTTTTACATAAATTTTTTACAGCTTGACCCAATTTTTAGGCTGAATTTTGAAGCAACCATGACCGATTCTATCCATCGGTGCGCAGAGTTCTTAGGTATATATTATTTGCTTATCATTTCTATTATATAGCAAATAGGTTTCTGGAATTGGGTTATTCGCAGACGAAGTCGCGAGAATATGCTAGTAATTTATAACTATAGACTGGTTTATTTTGTCCGAACCGAAGTCTGTTAAATTTATTTCTAAGATTTTAAATGGCAGAATCTGTGTCTACGTGGAATCGAAAGACCAAGCTGAGCAGTTAGTTCAAGAACATAAACAAATAGTAATCAACAAAAAGGTGTTATCAATTAGACCGTTAATATCCAAGAATAAGAGGATTATAATTTCCAATGTCCATCCATTAATTACAAACACAGAAATGATAGAGAAGCTTTAGTGAAATTTGACATCATCCCCACCACAAATATCACCTTCCTTCGAGCCAGCATGAATGATAGTGAGTTCAACCACTCGCACAGTTTTCGACGACAAATGTTCATGAGACCAGAGGATGAACCAAAAATTCCACCAACCATCCAGATCTAAAATAATGGAACAACCTACTGGCTGTACCTTTCAGGAGATTCTGTAGTCTGCTTCGTGTGCAAAGAAGAAGGTCATCTTGCCAAAAACTGTCCTCAGTTCATGACTAACTTCCTTCGTATTCGACAAACAAACTTAATGGATACCCAAGATAATCCAACAACGATAGATAATGACAGCACTCAATCAACTTGACAAACTGCTGCATCACTATCGACTCAGCAAGTCAACTTAAACACAACCCAGCCTATAGAAGGGACAAGGACAGCAGATAAGAAAACAACAACAAGCAAGTGAGCTCTCTCAGATAAGTCTAATCAATCAGCACGGTATACTATAGCTGAAGATCTCCAAACTTTTAAATTACCAGTACATGCCCGAAAAAAACCCAAAGTAGCACCAACAGGGCCAAAGGTACCTATAGAAGAGGTGTTGAAACCGGTAATGGATACTATTGAAGCAGAACTAAACATCTATAATTTTAACTATCCAGATTTTGAATCTTTTGTCAAAAGCATGGTTGGAGCAAAGAATATCTTGGAGCTAGCTCTGAAATTTACCGACAATAGACTCATTTCGGCTAAAAATCTGAGGGAAAAAAAATAAACGTAGAAATTGGAGAGGAGACCCTGGGCTCTGAAAACTTTCCTATTAGTATTAATCATTGCGTAGGAAAAAGTTATTACAGAAAAAAAAACATTTAAACTAGATACCTTAAAAACATACTGGGATAAGGTAGATAAAGACTTGAAAATATACTATAATCAATTGTTAACAGTAGAATTTAAGCAATTTGATGCTGATCAAAAGTACAAAATGTTCATGAACATCAGTACACAAGCAATAAAAGACAATACACTGACTAGAAAAACAGTTAGTAATAAGATACATAATAACCCAGTTTAATGGTGGGACTCTGAGTGTTTCAATAAGAAACAAGAGCGAAAACATGCGTTTCATAAATGGAATGTCACTAAAGAATTGACTGACATGATTGAATATAAAAAATTAATTGCTCAAACCAGAAGATTTTATAAGGAGAAAAAAAGAACATATTTTTCAGAATTTGCTTCTAACATAAATTTTAGAAGTAGTGTTTCTCACACCTGGAACACTGCTAAAATACTTAAAAACAAATGGGTTAAAACGTATTTTACCAACACCTCAGAAAATCTACAGAGTGAGAACAAAATCGAAAGTGCACTCGACAAACTATGTCCCCCCTGGGTCCCAACCAATCCTCACCACCTTTCACAAAGTCCAATTAATGAATTTTTTTGTCACCTATTTTAATTTCACTGAATTCAACGTGGCGTTAAACTCACCCAGAGCTAAGTCGTCGCCGGGCATGAACGGGATTACGTATTCAACTATAAAAAGATTACCTATAAAATATAAATTCATTTTACTGGACATATTCAATGAAGCCTTTGTCACCAACAAATACCCCCTAGACTGGAAGAAATCTTACCTACACTTTATAGACAAAACTGATAAAGCCAGTGTACGACCAATAGCCCTCACATCATGTATGTGCAAACTTTTTTGAAACGATAATTAAGGGGCGGTTAGAATGGTGGGTGGAATATCATAAACTTATCCCAGACAATCAGTCTAGTTTCCGCAAAGGTCAATCCAGTATAGACAATCTGGTTAACTTCACTTTATAAATAGACGATGGTTTTTTCAATCAAAAAGACACTATTGTCGCATTTCTCGATGTGCGGGGAGCATTCGACAACGTACAAAGCAACTTGCTTCTAGACAAATTAGCTCATATTGGGTGTTCAAAACGTACATTAGAATTCATTAAATTTATAACGTATAAACGAGAAGTCTCAACGGAAATCCTTGGTGAAAAAACCAAAACAGTCTTCAAAGGGGTCCCTCAAGGAGGAGTGTTGAGCCCGCTCCTACACATTATTTATATAGCGGACATCACAACCAACTTGACCAAAAGCATAACAATCTTACAGTTCGCTGATGACATTGCTATATATGGTAAAAGTAAATTAACTGAAAGAACTAAAAACCTGATAACTAATTTAACTAATATAATCAAAGTGAACTTAGCCAAGCTTGGGCTAGATCTGTGCCCTGAAAAAATTAAAATTATTCACTTCAACCAGAAATCAATTCCACTAGGCACTGCAGAAATTGTAATAAAAAACTATGTATTAAAATCATGTGAGCGGGCTCGGCTGTTTGGGATAACTTTTGACTACAGGCTGACCTTCAGTGCACACATAAATCAATTAAGATGTAAGAGCACAGAAGGTCTTAATATAATTTATTTTCTATGGGGTACATGGTTGGGCTGTTGCCCTGAAATTCTAACAATATTTTACGAAAGTTTTGTTCGATCACTCCTTAACGATGGATGCTTTGTATATTTTCTCACCAACAAAACACTGGAGAAAAAAATTGGAAAGAATTCAATATAGCTTCATCAGAGCTGCTCTTGGTTATCAAGTCACCACCCCTTCAAATATCCTTTTGGTAGAATCAAGATTACCCACAATACGTTGCTGAACCGAATTCCTTGGAAACAATTATCTCGCCAAAATCTCAACAAATGCTCAAATGCGAGTCAACAGGACCATTCAGCAAACTCAAGTAAAATTGAAGAAAATAAACGAAAAAAGCATAGACTCATCCATCAGTGCATTAACCAAGTTCATCAGTACAAAAATATCCTTCTTACTCAAAACATTACAGTATGTTTAATCTTGAATACAATGACATAGTAACAGCAATTCTCACAGATACAAAATTTGGTCTCACATTAAAAAACTAATCCTAACACTATATTCAAAAAAAAGTTTGAAAACGACAGCTCTATAAAAATCTATACTGATGACAGTAAAATTCCGAATAATTCATCAGTACAAGCAGCAATCGTTTGCGAAGATCTTCAAATATTCCAAAAAATTAGCATTTCTTACCTTGCATCAATATTTACAGCTGAATGCCTAGCGATCAGCAAGGCTATGGATATTGCTCTAGATAACACAGATAAATGCTACAAAATCTTCACTGACTCACTCAGTGCAATAACGAGCCAGCAAAATCCTAAATAGAGTATAAAAACAAATCCCTACATTTTGGCAATATTAAAAAAATATAATCAATATTGTAAGAAAACTAACAATGTAAATACAATTCAGTTTTATTGGATCCCCTCTCACGATGGAATAGCAGGGAATAAATCCGCTGATGACTCAGCTAAAATCGCCACTGCATCCCCTCCTGATCTTACAAATTCCCTTCCTTTTACTCACATCCGCAGAAAATTTTTTGAATTATATTTTCCAACAATTAGAGCTAAACCTTGGTATTATAGGACAGGCCTCAAGTGCGAAGTCATATCCACTATTAACCGACTCAGAGCAAACCACCACAGTCTAGGAGAGTCTCTCTTTTGAGTCCATATAATCAACTCCCCAAGTTGCAAATGTAGATACCATAATCAAGACTCGAATCATGTCATGTGGCACTGTCCCCTTCACGAAGAAGAGAGACCAACTTGAATTAATAATATTAAAAAACTGAAACTGAAACCTTACTTTGATATAGAAATTTTAAAAAATCCTTGCATACCAGCCTGTGTACAAGTATGTAAATTTTTCGGAAAAATAGGTTTGACAATATAATTATATAGTAAATTCCTTAGTATTTGTAACATTTGTAAACTGTGATTATACGATGTCTTCATCAATGAATGAATTGTAAA